GCGAATTTGATTAGATACACTTAGTGCACTGATACACATTAATACTGTCATATACGTAATTGTCACAAAGATATATGTATGTTTAATATAAATGAAGGTACGGGTTAAATCGCGAAATCCTCAATACACTTTATACTGTTTGATATAACATGTATTTTATAATTTGAAATGCTTTCATTTTTACTCTTGTATTAAATCAGTGTACACAACTGCTTTAATATGCACCAGTGCGCACTAATGCGTACAATCGAACTCGTTGTTAGGCATTACTAAAATATAAGATATTAGTGGGGATACTACAAAATAATTTTATATTGATTGGATATTAGCAAAGGCATATAGTTTGGATTAGCAGATTAATTTCTATATGCTTATATTTATTTACTTATTATCTATGGTATACCTAGGTAATACGATAATAGTATGCTAGCAGTTTGGCACCAATATATTACAACAGATTGACATGAATTGCGTCCGCATTACGTTGCTGGCAAGCCTGTAGACACAACATGAAAGCATATCGGTGGTAGAAATCGAGTAGATCTACCGAGTACATACAATATTATGACAGAGAGATTGACGGCAGAAATCGAGCAGATTTATTGTTGCGTAAACATTTAAATATCGCTTTGATCTAGTGTCATCAGATTGTAGAAGGTTTTGTTCGATTTATGTTAAAATTTTACTGATATTTAATACGAAATATTTTTTGCATTAAATCTATTGCTTTTACTGTTCTTGTTGTTTTACAAGATATACTCTCGAGGCTGAGCTGCCTAAGTTTGGCGAGACCGTAAACATCGTGTCTCAAAGTTCCTTCCATAGAACAGCAAGAAGAAATTTATGATTTTGAGAATGACAGCGAGAATAAGAGAGAGTTAAATCCATACTTTAGAGGGAAAGAAATGTGTTCGAAAACTATGCAAAGTTATTCCAAGCCGTTCCATATCCGTAGAAAATAAGCTCCTCAACATGGAATTGGTTTTACAACACCACTTCAAAATTGCATGCGAATGTCAGTTCTAGAGTTCTTGATCTTCTCGTTTATGCTAATATGAGGATACAAGTATGTGTAAAAATTAATTCTTTACTTATGTTTACGTATATGGTGTATCCTCGTTCTGGAATCGTGTTCTTTTTTTGCATATGGCAATTTAGAGATGTAATATGAAAAGTAATGTTAAATAATTATTATTTTAAATCTTACTATCTACCAACATTTTCATTTGTATTTTCACAATTATTTTTTACACAGTTAATTTTTTTACACAAGATTAGGGGAGACCGGGGACAAAACTAACACGGAACAATAGTAACATCGTCAATATTTCTTAAACTATAATAAATGTGTATGTGGCCGCGTGGTAAAATTCTATAAACAAATAGGCATTGAATCGTTCGTTACATGCTGATTTTTGCAGAACGTGCACGAGTGCAGAAGCAGAAATTACTTTTTTCATGCATCAAGTAACTTTTATTGCGTACACAAAATTCAAAATATTTGTTTTTCTTTATAACAAAGGTATAATGTATTATCTTAATATGTTTTAATGATTATCTGTGTTGATGTTTTTCACATTTCAGTTGATTTTTATCTAGGTTTTTATTTTAAAAATTTACTATGAATCATAAAATACCATTAGGGGACAATAGTAACATCGATCCCTGGGGGTCAGTTATTCAATTTTATACTGTAGAATCTGAATTTTGTAAGAAGGACTGTTACTTCGGCTTACTTAATAGCATTATCAGCGACTTTTTTATATTTGGCGAATACTTTTTATAATCGAATCCTGGCGTATATCCAGGATTTATTTTTTGACAACTACATATCTATTCATTATTGGATACTCAGCGATATTTGAATGTAAATTTGACGTAAATCCAGGATCTACCTTCCGTCGACTATACATATAACTGAAATCAGGCCTGAACAACGAACGTATATTTTTAATCATTTTCATTATATGTACTTTTATAATTAGTGATGTACGTTAATCTATTGTAGTTAACCGCTTTCATATACATACTTGTTTATAACTTTAAAAATGAAGTGGTCGAAACGTTAGTTGATGTAGACATATTTTTAGTTTGATGTATACCTACATATTTTTATTTTGTTTTTACTTTTATTTTACTTAATGTCAACTGTATCATATATACGTTAAAATTTGTTTTGTTTTGGCTCATAGTTCTTCTGATTTATTTTGTTTTATTTGAATTATTTGAGCCTTTCTTTATTATGTATTTTATTAATAAAACCAATAAAATAACCATTATTTTATTTATAAATAGTATGGTACAATTGTCCCTCTACTGTTACAATCGTCCCAGGGGTTGGGACGACGGTTGTAACAAAATTCCTCATAGTCTTTAAACAAACATAACTTTTTTTCTAGTTACATTGAAAAATTGAATCAAAGAAAATTTTGTAGCTAAATAAATTCTACATCTAAATATATATACTTTTTTTAATGTAAATATTATATTTTAACTGTTATAACACTTCGAAGTCAAAATGTTACTTTTGTCCCCAGTCTCCCCTACTTTAATATTGGTCACTATAGTACAGCAGTAAATAATTTGTATTGTAATGCAATGATTCTCGAATGCAATATTTGTGAATTTACTTATTGTTAGTAAATTATTCTAATTTATTAAATAGGATGATTTATATAAATTACTTATTACATATTAATTTTATTTTTTACAATTTATAGTTCAATATATTTATTATTTTTATTGTATGTATGTATTGCATTTATTCTAACTGATTCTGTGTCTACAATGCTAATGAAAACATACATATATATCTTTGATGAAATATAATTTTAACGGTATTTTAAACCCATTCTAATTTATATTTGCACTTTCTGTTAAATTTGAGCAATTATGATTCAATTATTTTAACAGGAAAATATTACTTATCTAACATGAATTATGATATACATATACATATAATGCTTCTGAAAATTAACGTCTCAAGTTTCAATTATAATGAACAAATTATACGAATAATATATTTATCAGATTATTAATAATTTCCTAATTCCCCTTCTATTTTTACGAACTTTTTAATTTACAGATCATTATTTTGTCTTAAAATACTAGAATAATATAAAAATTTAGTTGTGTTTACCTAATTTTTAAAAAGAAATTGAACCTATTTTGTATTATAGATAAAAAACATTACTAAAAATTAAAATTAGAATAAGATTTTTAAATAAGCTAAAAATTATGTTAAAATTACGCAATTTCTCTTTCATCTTTATTTAACAAATACTTTACGATGAAACCGTCTTTTGTACTAACGTAATATTAATAGAACTAGGGTTTCTCTAGTACTCTTTGGCGATTATATATGTCCTAAAATGTATGTATATTCTTCTCTCGTTTTAACATTAATATCATCTACCTTCTTCCCTCTATGCCAACCTTTTGTGTTTAAATTCCCTTACGGAACCTACTTTGTTCGCACGATACCACATCTATTATTTTCTCTTTGAGTTGTGAATGTTATAATAGTCAAATTTCAATGGAGAAGCAAATACCAAAAAAGTACTCAATGCAATATAAACCAATTATATACAAATAAAATAAATAAATGTAGATAATGACAGGTTCTTTCTTCATTTATGTGTCATTATTTAAAATAAATGAAAGAAAGAGTAGAAATTACGCTTAAATATATCAAATTTTTTCGTCACAATTATTATGTTGTTAATCACGTAACTTTCTTTTCTGATTTTTTCCTTTCTTTTTATTTCTAAATAGCATAAAAATTGACTAATTACAAACTAAACTCACAAAATAAAATATGTTACAATACATTATATTTAATCTTCGTAAATACCGTTAACATGTGCTATTTTTACCTCTTTATTTTATTATATTATAGCAATTATTGAAGTAATCTACACGTTTGTGGAAAGTATATGTGGAATATATGATTTTTAATGTGACTTACACACGCCAACCTTTCATACATTACTTTAATCTTACATGTTACGCTCATGCAAGATAGTTATTTCTATTAAATTTATGTCGTATGACGTATTTTAATCATTCCTTATAATTATTATGTTATATACCTTTTTGAATCCATTTTTGTTAAGTGCATTGTTTTCGTTGAGCATCTTTCATTAATTTACTTATTTATTCTGTTTCCATGTCTTTGTCATTTATCTAATTAAAAAATTAATATTTATTTTATGTGTGAAATTAATAGGACAATTTAAAGATGACCATCATGAATATATTTTACATATAATAATAAAGTAAGAATATTATATATAAACATAAATCGTGAAATGTTTTCATCAAAAACTTATTACGAAAAGAAAGAAAATAATTCTTCATTTAATTTTCCATTTCAAAATACTGTTCGCCTTTGTCAATGCAAGTCTTACAATGCAATTCTAAGGCTCAACTCTTTAAGCTCTGGAACTACCAGGTCTTACATTGCTATTTTCTATTGAAGAATTACGAAAGAAAGAGTATATTGAAGAGCAGAACAAATCGATGTTGTATTAATTAAAATTAGACAATTTATTGGCACGAAATTTGTAAATTGTTAACTCATTCTTTTTTTTAGTAATTTGCGTGTAGTTAACGTTATAGCATTTGTGTCGAAATTAATATAGAAAAGTCATGAATGTGGGAGTGACTGGCGGAATCAAGCTTGTATAATCACCTGCGTATATTCAAGATATGACATCGTTTAGGGACTCCAAGGCCTCCCGTCGGTCCTTCGAGGATTTTGATAGCGGGAAGCGAAAGTTCGGTCATGCCATAGAGCGTCATGCTAGTGCGTGCACACATGTGAATCTTACGGATAGTACCACCGACGTAAATTCAACGGGCAATTTCCGAGAGACGCGTTAGTAGGAGGATGAATTAACCCTGAGAGCCGCTGTATAACCATCGACCTGATGGCGCTCGTTTAGCTTGCAAATGTGGAAGGTGCGACTGACTGACGGAAACGTTTATGCATGTTTCAGAGGGACAGTTATACGCCGCGACGGTGGCCGACTTCTCTGGCGGAGAGCCGCTGATTCACAGAGACAAAATTCGCACCGAACGCTCGGATCTCAATCAGTTGAATGGTAAGCCTCCTAGAAATCACGATGAGAAATTTATGTGGCGTTGATGTGGCGTCCGCGATAGTATCTCGCAATTTTATAAGTTTATTTGATTTGCGCAAACATTATTATAAATATATCCAGAATATTCAATTCTATAATTCGAAAAATATTTAACGTTTAATTAATTTCAATATGCGCGTATCTATTTATAGATTTTTTTATACAGCTTCTGTAGAATTTGCTAAATAAATTTATGAGATTGGAAAGTAGCTCTGCAACTTATATCAAAACAGAGATAAAATATCTTGATTTCATTTCTTTGATAATTACATAATTTTTGAGATTTGCTTCTTTCGTTATCTGACATTTTAATAGACACGAGTGCAATAATACGAGAAGGATGGCTAATTTTAAAGATAATTATGATATCATCTTTAAAGACAAGAAAAAATTTCTATCACACAGTGACGATTCAAATTATCAAACCAACAATTTGATTTTAAAGCATCACTTTATGTAAATATCGGGGAAATTTATTGAAATATGAATTTATAATACAAATTATAATATGTAATTATAAGAAATTATATTATGAATTATGTAAATGTATACATTATCATATAAATTATGTAAATTTATAAGAAATAAGTTATTACTTGTAATATTTAGTCTGATCTTATTGCTAACAAACAAAACAATTTTATTTTTGTTAATCATTAAATATCAAAGTAAAAAAATTATATTGTAAAATATCACATTCTGTAGAATAAATTCGATAATGGAACTCGATGCAATTTCATTATTTCAGGTCCGAACTTTGTCAGCACATTCGCATATCAAGATTATGTATTCTTCTTCTATCGTGAAACAGCCGTAGAATACATGAATTGCGGAAAGGTGAGGATTTTTTATTCGATATTTCTTAATCCTCTCTCTCTGAATAAATTTTGTTAATTATTTTGAATTTACTTTTGATTGTTTTTAAAAAAAAATTATTAAAATTTAGAGATTTATAAAGGAACGATTTGAACTGTGTCCCGTATATGCAATGTACACACACGTCTCTTTATTTTTAACTTGTCAAGATTAAACAAATTCCGTACTGTAATTCTTGTGGTGGATGTTTTGAATAAAAAAGATCTCTTATATAATATTTAGAAAATAACACATCCGTTTATAAAAATATAGAAATATTGAAAAATGTAAAATATTGATCGATCGCTTCACAAATTTGATTCACATTATATAGTCAGTCTACTCGCGAGTTGGGAGAGTCTGTCAGCACGATAAGGGCGGGCCACACGCATTTAGCGACAGATGGACGAGTTTCCTGAAAGCGAGGCTCAACTGTTCGGTACCGGGAGAGTACCCCTTCTATTTCAACGAAATACGTGAGTATGCATATGCGCGGTCCTTTCGCGGCTTCGATCGTGACTACGCTCGAGTAGTTTCAAACGAGGGCTCTCGCACGCTTCTAAAAGGTCCTCGTAAAAGAGCCTCTTCGATTCTGCGCCGCGTTAGTTCCCACTTAGTGCATATATATGTTCCTCTACTTTTTAAGTTTTCTGCGATTTCCGCCCGATATACTTTTCCGTTCTACGAAATACTGTAAGAAAGAAAATGCAATTTTAAAGACTTTAAAAGTTGCTCTTTTAAAGAGATCCGTAGAAAGAGTGTAGTTGGATTCAACCTTTAGAGGGCGGCAGGGTCTATTTTTTAAATTTTACCGTTTTCTCTTAATAAGATTTATTATAATTTATTATATTCTTTGTGTGTCTCAAAATATAACACTATTTTAGCGCCACTATAATGGCTTTCCATCCTATAAAAATTAATATTTTATACAATTTATTTAATACATAGTCTAATTTACAATATGCTATATCACATGTTGCAAATTGTATATTTTTTAAAATATAATTATATGTACTTATTTGATAAATTTATTTATATATATATATATATATAAATCGAAATATCTCAGAATAAAATATGAAATATCTCATAAACTATTGATTTTTTTTATGACTTTATCCCTTAATATGCAAAATAATGTTGCTTTTACATGCAAAATGGCTAGGAGAGAGAGAATAAAATTATATTAAAAAATATTATCATTTCCCCCATTTATAAAAATATTGATGACGTCTTATAAAAACATGTTATATAAAAATTTATCACGTTTCTTTTATGAAAAATTTCTATTTGAAATATTGTTTTAAAATATATTTTAATTTCGATGTATCTCGAAATTTCACTTTTTTCTCATTTTGTCAAATATGAAACTGATATGTAATTCAGGTATTTGTAAGCTTATCCAAACTTAAAAATGCATGCAATTATGTACTTTCTTGCGGCATACATATTTTGCGTAATTAAATGTAATTTCTAATATTTGTGTTTGCGTAGAATGGGAAGAAACAAACAACGTTGCTTGCAAATACAAATATTATAAATTTCTCTATTGCACATTATATATATCCTATTAATGTAATAAGAATAATATTGTGCTGAAGTAATAGTTACATTCTAACATTTAATTACGCAAAATTTTTACATAAAAAAAAGAAATGATAACATTTAACATTGTTTGCAAATGTAAATATTAGAGATTCATTATTATTATTAAAGCATAGGGAATCATATTCTTTTGCAATAATACAAATATAAATATCTGTTTTTAACAGCATTATAATAAGAATGTTCGTATATTTAATATTTTTTAATGTTTTTTTTTATATTTATATGATATTTTTTGTCACATTTATCGATTTTTTTATTTCTCGTCCATTCCTACACGTACAATGAAATCGGATAAGTCACTCTAGCTATCTATCGTACAGTGAAATATACTAATCTCGAGTGTGAAGTACAATAGCCGTGCACTATCGCATTTAGAAACCAGTAGGAATGGAGAACGAACGAGAGGAGCACTCTATTCTCGTAGAATATTGTCGCCGCACATCGAATTGAAATCCCTATGTTGGATTCGCGAAGTTGGCGCGTCTCCAGATGTCTGAGAGATGCCGCGAAATCACTGGCTGCTTCTCTGATTGTTCGAACTTTGTATCTAATCGCGGAACTAAGACTAATGATGAGACATGTTTATTAATATCGAAGCATACTTGAGCACGAAATGTCAAAAATGTGAAAGAGATTGATAACAGACAAAATTGTTATTGAAATTGAAAACATTAAAATTTAAATCTTTTAATTATTTAATTAATTCGGCAATTTCCAAAAGAAGATATTTGATTTAAGTACGACGTAGAACGCAAAAATTAAAATGAGTAACATGAAATTAAAAGTCGATATAAAATCGTTGATGTTAAATACTTGAACAATTTTGAATCGTGAATTTAAATCCAGTAAATTGCAGATAATATTATCGTTAATTTTAATTGGATGACTAAAAAATGGTTTGTCTAAAAAAATAACTCTTACTTTTTGACTAAATTTTGTAAATTATTTTATTATAATGCATATTTTATATATTTTTACATGATACATTTTTTTCTTATTATTCTATGCAAGTAATGAAATATTTTTTCCATAAGAAGATGTATAGGACGGCGCTTGCACTTATTATCTATAAGACAAAAATGATTTCGAAATAATTTCGAATAATTTTTTGTCTTATTTAGAGTCAACGAGCGATGTTACGGATGGTCGATACGCGGGGAAGTCCGCGCGTCTGGTGTATGGAGTTTTCACGACCCCAGTGAACTCCATCGGCGGCTCAGCTATTTGTGCATTCTCTATGGACAACATTCTCGAGGTCTTCCAGGGTGCTTTCAAAGAACAAGAGACTATAAACAGCAACTGGCTGCGAGTAGCTCAGGAAAAGGTACCTGAGCCCAGACCCGGTGCCTGTGTTAACGACTCCAGAACACTTCCGGACATCACTGTTAATTTCGTCAAGGCACACCCCCTCATGGATGACGCAGTGCAATCTTACTTTTCATTACCTGTGATAACTAAAACCAGTTTCAAGTAAGTAACTTGATCAATTAATATTTTCGATATATTTTTATTAATATAGTTTTAATATAATATATTCATGTATATAATATCTCTATACCTAAACACGCTTTAATGCAATATATTTAAACTACGAATCTTTTTGTCAATTTTAAGTAGGTATTCTTTAAAAATATTAAATTAATTATAGCTTCTCAATTTTTAACGTTATATATATACTTTTTAATATCAAATACGCAAAGTATACATGCATTTTTTATTATACATATTATACATGTGCAAAAATACGAGAATTCTTTTTACATAAATTTTACTTTGAACTTATTACATTTTCTATCGAAAGTTATTTTTACAACTATTATTGCAATTACATATTTTTAATAGTATTAATGGCTTTGTAATATAACATGCCATTAACACATGGAATTTTAACATTATAGTTATAGATTTACCAAAGTTGCGGTAGATTCTCAAGTAAAGGCTTTGGATGGTAAAGCTTACGATATACTCTATATCGGAACAGGTATAATTATTTAATTATTTATAATAATATATTAATTATTATATTAATTCGTAATTGTATATCATTATTATATTTATAATAATGGTCAATCTATTATCAATAATAATAATATAATTATTATAAATGATGTATATATATATATATTATATTTGTAATAATGATGATTTATATTTCTGGGAGATTAACGAGATTTATTTGTTGCATACAGATGATGGCCGCGTTTTGAAAGCACTTAACACACGTGCACCAGAATCATATGACAATGTTGGTCAAGTTATTGTCAGTGACGTCCAAGTGTTAAAATTTGGTAAGTAGATTTACTGTATAAATTTTATAATTGTATTATTTTGCAAGTTTAACGAGAAATAATTTTTTTTTACCTTTAACTTTTCTAGTTAATCTATTATATGTACTTATCTATGAATATCATATTTTTATGTTGCATAATTATATCTATACTGAAGCTAAAATATTGTACACGATTGAGTAATTGACTATACAATATTGTGAAAAGTAAATAGAAATTAATCATACCATGCGATCGAATTCACATTAATGCAAAGTGCGTTACTACATAGTTTTACGAGCTTTTCAAGATATTTAGTATTTAAATCCTTAGGATGAAAAATGCAAACGGAGAGAAAAATTTGGACGTATATTGCCAATTTGAATAGATCAATTGCAACGCAAACTATCTAAATTTGTTTGAATTTCCAGCGCGTTCGGTTTTGGTACAATCTTTTCGTACGATAGAATGTAGAACATAGTCAAACGAAAGAACGACTTGAGATTGAATAAGAAATTCGATGCTTCTTTAAAAAGTTTCTAAGAAGCTTTGCGCATACCATACTTTTTACATGTACATGTTGCGTTATTTCCAGTAAAAATTTAAAGAGATAAATCACATCATACGGTAAATAACAGAATATCCGTTTTCATGATATATATATATATATATATA